GAATATAAATAAGTTAAGTGTATTTATAAAACTGTTCATTTACCATATTCCATTATTATATCACTAGCTAAAGACACTGCTTCCTTTGATTTCATTAGAATGCTTGTCAGAGTACATAACTTGCTATGATCTTCAGCTACAGCACTTAATATTAGTAACATTGGATCTCCTACCAATGAACAACCGCAACTCTTCACTTCTGTTAATGTATCCTTAGATATCAATCCCTCTGTATGTAAGAGACCAACTGATTCCTCAGTAAGAACAACTTGAGCTAGTTTACCAATATAACACTGTAATATCTCACTAACAGGATCTGCCACTATAAAAATATAAACAAATTAAGTATAACAATAATAACATTACTTGTTTTGCGAATATCAGTAGAAATGGATGTTGCGTTCATTCCATGGAGTGCATTAGCCAGTGTCTTCCAGATAATAGGACCAACAGTGGTGACATTATCATCAGCTTTAGTCAACCACTTGGTTAAACACTCCATCAGGCAGCGTGAAGGATTCCCTCTATGAGCTGACTCAATAGCTTCCAGTGTAGGATGAAGCAGACCAAGATTCAATCCAAATTCAAACCATCTTGCTTCAGAAAACTTGTAATGCCTCAAGACTTGTAAAACAAAGTTCAACTTGCTGATATCTGTACACAAAATATGTATATCAGTGTATTACAAATAATCTGACTCACCTAATGGGAAATGTGATGGTTTTGAAGCCATTTGAAACTAGTTTAAGTATTGTATACAAGGTAAAAGGAGAGGTAAAGGTAAGACGAGAAGTAAAAGCAGAGCACAGCAAATTCCAAACAACAGGGAGGGGCTGGTAAACCACTCCCATAGCCACACCTTTATGATGAAGTGCAAAATGCTTTTGAGGGAAGAGGTTCATCAGATTATTCCTCTCCAGTCCTCCTCCTGCTATTCTGATGTGGACGTATCTTTATATGGAGGCATTATTAATTAAATTTAATAAACAATATTATTTGCATACTTGTACATGTGTAGGTAGAGTATATTCATTGTGTATTGTATAATGTGTGTACATTATTAGATATTCATGTACATGTACATGTAGGTTGGGAGTCTCAGTTATTTGAAATGGGTTTCCTTGCAATGTTCTTATCTCCAGTTTTGAGTTTGAGCCAGTTTCCAAGTCACACGCCCACAAGCTGGACCAATGTCTGGGGAAATCGCTGGATGATATTCCGCATTATGATTGGAGCTGTAAGTGAGAGAAAGGATGGGATTGAATATTGGAACCTTCTTTAGGGTTTGATAAAGATGAGAGGCGATAGCTGTTGGAGGGACTTGACTTGTATGAACTATCATTATGAGGTTTGTACATTGTATATTGTATAGTATATGATGCTTTAATGTGGTGGAGTTTCAGTTTGACATTTTGTGATCTGAGATTGATTTATAATCAGCATAAGTTGCCGTTTAGATGTCATTGTTAGTGCTGTATGGGGGCATCCATGCTTTTTTCAAATAATTGCTTTGAAATCACATATTTTAATTACATTTTATGATACATATTGATGTCCTTATGCTATGTAGAATGTTTGGTGATTTTGACTGAAAATTTTTGAGTTATAGCTATTTAAAAAATTGGCCAGTTTTTGAGAATTACCCTGTACTATATAGCCCATGGTTTTTTACAAAATCGCTCCGAAATTACAATTTCTTATACTTATTGATGTCCTTATATGCTGTATAGAAACTTTGAGCTGATTCTGGATTAAAAATTTTAAGTTATGGCCATTTTAAGAAATTTGCCAATTTTTGAAAATTTCCCTGTACTATTATAGCCCATGGTTTTTTCTAAAAAAATGGCTCCAAAATCACCCCAAATTTTTATTACATTTTCTGGTACACATTGATGTTTTTATGCTGCGTAGGAAGTTTGAAGTGATTCCGACTGAAAATTTTTGAGTTATGGCCATTTTAGGAAATCTGCTGTTTTTCGAAAATTTTTGAAAATGGCTCTAAAATGACCCCGAATTTTTATTACATTTTCTGATACATATTGATGTCCTTATGCTGTGTAGAAAGTTTGAAGTGATTCCGACTGAAATTTTTTGAGTTATGGCCATTTTTCTTAAATTGACCAATTTTCAAAAATTATCCTGTACTATAGCCCGTGGTTTTTTTTTTAAAATGGCTCCGAAATTACCCCAATCTTTATTACATTTTTTGATGCATATTGATGTCCTTGTGCTATGTAGAAAGTTTGAGGTGGTTTCGCTTAAAAATTTTGAGTTATGATCATTTTAAAAAATCTGCCAATTTTTGAAAATTACGCTATACTATAGCCCATGGTTTTTCCTAAAAATGGCTCCAAAATTACCCCAAATTTTTATTACATTTTTTGATACATATTGATGTCCTTACACTGTGTAGAAAGTTTGAGGTGATTCTGATTGAAATTGTTTGAGTTATGGTCATTTTTTAGTTCATGTCCAGAAATTGCAATGGAACTTGCGGTCATTTTAATTTAATGATATTCATTGAAATTACCATAGCAACGAGTAGTGATGGAGAATGGAGGAATCTTGTCATCTCTATTCGAAGAGCAATAACTTCTGTCTAGTGTGACTACTGGACTTTATTTGGCACTGAAGGCTTTCTAGAAGTCTTGTGAATGGAACTGGAGAAGTTATTTTCTCATATTTCTTAGTTTTAGACAGCAAGCGTGGCACTTGAAGGAATGGCAATGATAAATCTTGTCTTCGCTTGTTTTAGAATATTTCCCGTGCTTGTAAGTTGCTTAGTTGCATTCTCCTGACATTCAGTGTCTTTCTCTGAGTACATGAGTCACTAAGACGCTTGTTATGCAGAGCTGATTGTTTTTCATGCATGGCGTCATGCAACCATGAGTGCAGAATTTTATGATTTTTGAAAGCTCAGGTTTCAAAAATTTGCACTGAGTACTTTATCATTTATACACCATTCTGTTGCAAATTAGTTTTACTTTAAATTTCCGAAGCGGGAAAGTCTTCAAAATATATAGTTTTATAGTTTTAACCTTTCAAAAATGAAAAAAATTTAAAATTTCAAAAATCTTAATGGAAAGATGGCGTCAATGATAGTGCTATATTCAGACGGTCAGGTTTCAAAGGAACAGTCACTGATCAAGATGATCTTCAGCAGGATAAGAGCTTTACTGTTGTACAAACAATATAGAAAGCGGGACCTTGGCAAATTTCACCACATCACAAGTTATAAGGATGCTTAACGATCCTACCATTGGTTCTCTGTATAAAATTAAAATTCAGATACGGAAAATTTACTAGAAATTTCCTATCAATGTCCTTGCATTTCTGGACATGTAGGCCAATTTTTCAGAAATTACCCTTTACTATTATTATTATTATTATTATTAATAAACTTTACAATACATACTATAAAATGTGACAAAAAGAAAAGAAACAAAAAAAGAGATGTATCGAAGGCAAACACAGTAACAAGACTGGCCACCTAAAATTACATAGTAAATAATAATGCTAGAACATAAATAAATACATGAACAGAAAACATTTAGACACAATTGAAACAAGGACAACAAAAATGAAACGAACAAATTAAAGAAGAATCAAAGTTATTAGTAACGCGGTAGCGTTTTAGTAACGCGGTAGCGTTACTAAGTAGGATTCACCCCAAAACAATATGGCTGCCACAACTTTTGCAGCCTTGCTATACCGGGAAAACAAGCTTCTATGCTTACCAGACTTCTCAGAGGACCTTATCTTGACCAGAGGACTCCATAGGTACCACTAGCGTGGCTCTACACCTTGTCTATAAGGAAAGTCAAAAATCGGCAAAACGGCCGTTTTGTTCAGTCGTCTTCATCATCATCATCATCATCATCATCATCATCATCTCCTGTCAATCCAGTTGTCGGTGTGTATCTCAATATTGGCTGGTGCTAGAAGGCTAATTCTTACACCATTCTACTCCAACAGTCTATGCGCAGGTCCATGTCCCATCACCTCATTCTCCAAGAAAGGAAGAAGTGACACTATGACTGTAGCATCAGTCAAAACTTACCTCATGCCGCCATTTTGTTATTAAAAGAAACATGTGCTCCAAAATTTGGGTGTGGTCGCGCATGCTCAGATCTCAGAACTGGGAAATGCAAGCAATTTTTTATCTAGCTCGTATCTAGCTATGCTTGGATCAACTGCAATACTTAGTGGAGGTTCCAGGCTTCTAGTTCTAGCTAAGAGAAGTTA